GGGCGTGAGCTGTGGCTGGAAGACCCCTTCAGCCATGGCTAAAGTTTATCTTAATCCATCCTCTGATGATAGAGAAGGATTGCGTTGGGCGAAAAATATTAGTTTCGATGCAACTGTCTCAAGGTTGTTAACTTGTTCCTGTAGTTGTTGGATGGATGCTGGAGTGGGTATTTTACCGACGATGCTTGGCACGCGTTTGTCGCGTTGCTTTTGACTTCAGACACCACTGAACTGGTAACTCAACTTATATTTCATCAGGACTGAAGCGAGCAAGGCCATTCATTCCAGAAGGGAAGCTGCAAAAGAATCTTGTGGCCAATTTCTCATGGTACTTTTCATCAGGATTTCCAATCAGGATTTCGTAGATTCTCTATCAACGCCCAGGCCAACTATAAATATTCTTCAGTCCACTCTCTGGCATGTCTAGATTAAGTACCTCCTCTGCTATTCGATATTCTGTGAATTAAAAGACACTGATCATCAAAATCTAGTTTTTGCGTGTAACAAATTGCCAAATGCTACAATGCCTGCATTGTTTAGACTAAAACAACCGATATCCTATTCCTCGCCAGCACCAGACTGGATCACGTTCCGTAGATAGGCCAATTCATCCATCATATCCAACATAGACGCTGAAGCATGACTGAGGCGACTGGGTACTTCCCGGTTGTCAGTAAGCGATGCCGTATTGTTTTTGACATCCTCAGGAAAGTGGATGGTGGACGCGTCGGGACTTTTCACCAAACCCAGTGTCTCGAAGGAGTTCATGGCGCCGAAGAAAGCTGCGTGCCTTTTTGGGTCTCTCTCCACGTTGTACATGTCTTCAATACCGAGGCCTGTCATGTCGAAATCAGACGGAGACAATGACACCGTCAAGCGGGGGAGAGGAAGGTTGAATTGAGGTGAGTCGCCGGCAATGGAGGTTGCGGGTGACGGCTTCGAATTCACAGTCAGGTGAGGAGTGTTTGGATCACTCGCCTCGGAGGCTAAAGAGGGTATGAGCAGGTCGGAAAATTCTGCGTCGCCGGGATGAGGGGACGGCTGGTTTTCGTTGTTGAAAGTGGAAGAGGAGGTCATTGACTCGGGAGAGACTATTTCTGTATCCGTACTCCATTCCGAGAAGTGACTTCTCTCGCAGTACGAGCTGCTGACAACGGACTCCTCCGTTTCAGTGAAGTCAGAAAAGTGACTTCCTAGAATCTCAGTGTCGAGTTCTCTTTCGCGGGCGTCGATATCGCGCAATGCTTCATCCATCACCGATGAGGGCGAGTTGGGTAAGGTGGGAAGCCGTTTTTCTTTGTACGTGAATGGGGTAGGCGTCGTAGCGTCGGGGATGGTGGCAGTTCTCAAGAACGATGGCGACTCTAAGGCCGCCAGGAGCTCTGTGGCCATGTATGAAAATGTTTTTGAGGCACACTCTTCACTCGCGCTCGTATTGTCGGGCTGCGTCTCAAGAGTCAGAGGACTCCTGCACGACAAGTGCTCCATGGATTTTGTGTTCAATGCACGACGATCTTGAATCGACATTGCCAGGGGGTTTTCATTGTCCGCAGAAACAGGTCGGCGGAAGAAAAGGTCTTCTGGGTGAAGGGAGTGCCCGTAAGGCCTGGCGTTCGAGGCCTGATCGAGGTCATGGAAAGAATGCTCGGGAAAGTCGAAGCGGCCTTTCCCACTACTACCGGTGCGGGATACCCCAGGGGCATGTCTGACTTTTGGATCAAGCTCCCTATCTGAGTAGTGGGTGTCGCTGAGGTCGGGAGAAGAAACATTCAGACACCGGATTGCAGCCCGAAGGCCTCTCGATCTTGGAGGTGACACCGAGCGAGCAGATTTGGAGCTAGAACTTCGCGGTGCTTTGTTTCCAGAGCTGCTTGGCTGGGAAGCCGCTCTGTTGGTCAATGCTCCCAGAGGGGATGTACTGAAGGACCAAGCCGGGGTTGGCTGCTGAAGTAGTGGCGGGGATGTACGGAGACGGGGAAGCTTTGGCTTCGGCGGCCGACGTGGATTCATGTACTTGTCGTCTGGGTTCATGGTCCGTATATCAGCCTTCCTGGAGCTCGGACTGTCTTGAAAGGTATGTGTGGGCCGAGTGTCGGGAAGGATAACGGGGACCTGAAGCACATTGAGCGGCTGACCAGGAAGCAACGGGCAAAGCGACGTCACTGGCTCCGCTTGGTTATAATACTCCACGTCGTTGTCCAACAAGTACTAGTTAGGACGTCAGTCTCAGAAGTTACAACTAACAGGTGGAAGTACCCACATAATACCAATAAGTACCTCCCATCTTGAGTCCACCAGACCGCGCTGGGGCCAGATGAGTGGGAGAACCGTCACAGACTATGTCCGTGAATGTGTGACATCCTCTCCAATGGCCTGGACCGACGCGTCGATCCCTTTCCATGACATATGGTTTCGAGAAGTTATCCCATGACCCGAGCAGTTTGACAGACTTGACATTGGGATTGGTAGTACTGTGTAGAGGGTCAATTCAAGTTCAAGCGGGCTGCTTGAGGGAAACTAACAGCAAGAATGTCATCAATGTTGTTGAAGACATGATAGCAACTGATATCGCAATAGCGGAATAAACAAATGTAAGTAGAGAAACGCTGAAGATATATGCCGGACTGATTGACGCTGAATTGCAGATTCAATGACAGGGAAAAACCGCAAAGTATTCCAAGCGATGCGAGTATTATATATATAGTCAAAGATAATGAAGAGTTACCCCGTTGTCGAGGACCAGCCCGGACAGCGAAAGTTGGTGAACGCGAATTGAACGAAATAAAAAAGCCTTGACGTTTCGAAACTGGCCGAGTGTCCGTTCTCTTTTAATGAGATCCAAAAGCTCGGTATCGAGGGTCGACTGCGCCGCTGAATTGACAGTATATAGACCGAATCCAAAGCTATTAATGGTATCTGACAAGCGAGTTCGTCTGCGACTCTTTGTAGTGGACGTCTCAGTAGCCGCGACGACCACAATGACGGAAATTGGATGTTCCTGAGCGACAGAGACAAGAGGCGACGAGAGCCAATTGGCTTGCTATATAGATATACCTAGCAGATGGAAGCGCCAGCGAGGCGGATAGACGAAACGGCGACAGTATATCAGCGCTTACTGCAGTTGTTGTGGTTTCGAGAGGAGATATTTTCTGAGTTCTTGAGAACTTCCAGCAGGGACTGAAAAGAGGCAAAAATGAACAAGGGTGATGGGAGCGCCATCAATAGAAGGTAATATATGCGACGTGAAGAATAATAATAACCATCAAAACCAGAGGCATCATCATAAATAATAATCAAAATCAATACATGAGGAAAAAGCACCTTGAATAAGATCCACTGGCTGCTGTAAGAACCACGTCACAACCCTGTATGTCGATAACATGCAGGGGGGAGAGAAACTTGAGTGTCAAATATTGGAGAGGAGAAAAGGATTGGAAGAAATCTGAGGAACTACTCAAACTAGTGAAAAATAGCGACAGCACAGGGCGATGATGACTTAATTACCGCAGAGGCTGGCTTTCAATATTCGATCATCCAGCCGACGAGACCGATTGAGTTGAAAGTGTAGCCTCTGATTGATTGACTCCAATAATGGCATTATCCCCATCCTGAATGCGATCAGCAGCAGAGCCACAAGAATGCAATCAGCCAGCCATGTGGTTGTTGACCCGAGCAGTGGAGATCATCATCGCCAGCTAAATACTCCGTACCACCTAGATATCTACCAAGTACAAGAAATCAACCACTCAATGACCATTACTCTGTAATTATCTTTCCAACCTGTAGAATAGTTGTACAGACCAGTCAACTTCACAAAATGATCAATAACACGCAGATTATCCACGTGAAAACCATGTATACTCTAGGTATCTATCTATGGGTTGCATGGGCCATGCCTTTGTAAAATACTGCACTTGATAATACCATTATTACCAGGGGCTTGTGCATAAGACTCAAGGACTCAAGGTAGACATCCCAACAGAACCATCAATTCATTCTAAGGATAATCTAAGATGAACAAGACATTTGTTAACTCAAAGCCGAAATGACTTGACTGACGATCATCTCACAGGCAGTCCTGCCCTGAATGTTGAACCCTAAGGCTGTATCGACCTAGCCAGACTAATCGAACAGTATCCGTAGCACCATCCAGGTCTCACCGGTCCTTGAACAAATCAGATAGACTACTCAGAAAGCAGAACTTCCAAATCCAAATTGACCAGTCGGATTCCCCGTGCACGCCGAAATTCTCCTAGTCCTGGCGCTTACGGCCATGCAGGTACGCTCTTAGTGTGCTTCGGTGCCGGGCAACCGATGGCAGAAACATCCTCACCCACACCGACCACGGCGGTTCCGATCATTATGTTTCTGTCATCGTCATCCCCTGCGGAGCGTACTCAATTACCATCGCCTGGATTGATAACATGGGGTTTTACTGGAGTCACCGATGTATGTCCGAAGCTTGTGGGGAAGGAACATCGTGATGTTGATTCCCATGGGTCATCTTCAATAGTAGGTAGTCCAGAGACGGCCGATGGATCCACTATCTGCTAGTGGTGGCTGAATGGACTCAACCAATCTCTCGACTTCTGGCGATACGATTACGGAAGATGATTCCTTTTACCTATTTTCACTATCTATTCGCCAGTTCGAGGGGCTTTCCAAGTGCTCCTGTTCACATTCAACAGTCTGGCGCTTACTGCAGCACGTTTCAGCCTACTCCCTTGCATGTGTGAAGTATGAGCCTGTTTGGGAATGATTACCTGTCAGTTGTCCTGGAATGTCCTGGCCAGAGCCTAGACCGGGAAATCAGAATAAAGAGGAAAATCTGCCTAATCCATTAACGCTGCTGGCAAGGGTAGAGAGGTATTAGATAGGTACGCCGAGTCCAAGCTGGAAACACAGTAGCCGCCCTCAAGCTAATGAAACAACAACCAGAATAACAAAAGCAATGAGCCACCGCGTAGCAAACTCGTCAAGCAGAATACACAACCAACTGCCTAAAACGCCTTCCGCTTATCGTATTTCTTATGCACAGCACCCATCGTGCACTTGAGGATGCCCTCCGCGTTCAGCGTCTGCCCGCGATGCCCCCTCCACGGCACCGTATCGACAATATCCCTCAGATTATCCTCCTTGGCCATCTTCCCCAGATCATCGTCCAGATCCTCCAGATATCTCCTCGCCCCCTCATCATCCCCAATCTGGAAGAACTGGATACCCACCTGCCACGGCACAGCCCGACACCGCGGCCCATCCAACCGCTTCGCAACATCAACAATCACACTCTCCGCATCATCCGTAAACACCCCATCCGTAATCGCAATGATATTCAACGGCTTCACAAACTTCGCCGGATCCCTCAGGTTCCCATCCTCATCCGTCGCGGCAGCCATCTTCTCCACACGCCGCAGGTACGGGTTCAGGATCTGCAGCAGCCGTTTCCCGTACGGTGTTGGCCCGCGCGGCCGCACACTGTTGAAGATCTCCTGCACGTCCGCGGCGGTGGTGATATTATGGTATGCGCCCGTCGAAGTGGCCGTCGCGTCGCGGCGGTGGTTGAGAAAGTAGATGTCGATTCCGTCCTGGTCGTACCGCGTGCAGATGGGTGCGATGGCGGCAAGGGCCTCCTCGGCTTCCTTCCACCGCGATCCGAGCATGCTTGAGCTGTCGTCGACGACGAAGATCGTGTCGAATTCGCGGAGGAAGGCGTAGGGTGAGTCGCCCGTGCTGCTGGTGAAGGAGGCCGTCGAGCCGGGTGTAAGTGTGACTGGTGCTGGTGCTGGTGCTTGCTGGGTGTAGGGGGGCGGAGACCAGACGTCGAGGTTGCTGGTTTGCACGTAGGTGTTTCCCTTGTGGGGCCTAGATTGGGTTGCTTGGTAGGTGGCCGTTCTTGAGGTGGTTGAACTGCCTCCTACTCGTGAGTGACGATGGCCCATTGTGATTTCTGGACTGTCGTCGATAGTATAAGCGGGTGGGAGCTGGCGCTGGAGAGATTCCGGCACGAGAGAGTCTCTTGGTGAATCAAGAGAAAGGGGAGGAGGGGGAGAAGATCGAGACTTGAATCTTCCAAAGAGAAGCGGCATTGAGATTTGGGAATCTGAATGATGCTCGTGGTATGCAATCGGCTCAACAAAAGAGGGAAAGTATGATGCCTTTCCTTGGTTGCGAATGAAGTCAAAACTCGCTAAACAGGCAGTCTCAACCACAGATCTATGGATTTGTCGACGAATGATCTCATTGTTTGTTCCTTTGCGTAGGCGCGAACATTACTTTCTTTTATCTACTCATAACCTTTAGTATCATGAACGACGAAGGCATATACAAGGCGGACTATGGTGTCATACTACTAGCACAGAGAAAGTTGTCTATACACTAGTCTAAGAAGGCTGAGGCTCTGAGCTTAGACAATCATGTCTAGGATCGCTCTTGTGGCATGTCTTAGAAGGTAATACAAGGGCTAAATCCCCCCCGAACCCTAAATGCAAAGGATTCAGGGTTCAGGATAAGAACTAGTGAAGGGACGTGCCAGAATAAAATGAGGCTGAGTCCTCTACCAATAATTATGACTCAGTCACTGTAGCCCTTGCTCCCATATTCCCGGAGTCCAGCAGGTAAGCCTTGCCTTAGGTTGCAGGCTTGCAGCACCGCCCCTCCGCAACCGCAGGCAGGGGCTGTGTAGTTGCCTCAGGAACAAATGAAACCAGACAGTGTGCAGTCCACCAGAAGGCTTCAATCTAAGCTTTCTGAGAAATACGAGGCGTATTATGTATGTGAGGGGGTCATTTACATATGTACAGCATAAATCATCTGACAACGCGCCTGACGAGACATACAAAAATCGTTCATCCAATACGCCAGATCACCGAGACTATACGCCGAGGTCCAATCAAAATCACTCGCATAAAAGAAAGCAGTCATTCAGCCTCCAAATGCTTCCAAGTACTTGTCAAAACTTTATTTCTCACAACAGCGGAGCTCTTCTCCTCTATGAGAACCCCATCATCACCCACGCCCTCAAAGACCCCCGCTTCGGATTCTAGAACATCAATCAAAGCAAGAGCCTGATCGATCCCCATACCGTGCCCGATGAGCCGCAGACAGTCAATGCCCCACTTTCGCAAAGGATGGTTCTTCCCCTCGGTTGCGCCGGCCAGTACCAGCGGCCACAGCAGCACGAGACCTGCTGTGTGACTCTCGTTGATGGGGACAGAGCCCGTCTGACTCTTTTCAGTGTTTCCAACGCCAAAATGGTAGGGTACGCTGGCGCAGATGTCCGCAGCCAACTGTCGCGTGAGGCTGCGGATCCTGAAGCAATGACTTTGCAGTTCGCTGGGAGCGCATGTGCCCGCTGACTTGCCGAACAGTCGCCGCAGACAGCTCAGTATGATCTCGCAGACGATGATCCGCGCGCAGCGATACTGATTCCATGTATGGCAGATCCAGAGATCGTTGTAGATGTGGTATTGATTGTTGTACGGAAGTATGCCACGACAGAGTCTCTTGAACGCTGCATCAGAGTAAGGGTTCTCGACGGTGCTGTACGAAAAGTCTGGAGGAAGAGATGCAAGCCAGGCTAGCAATTCAGCATCGATGCCGTAGGCAGCTGCTAGAACCTCTTGATTATCTGTCATGTACTTTTGGCTGACATCGGCGCGGAGGTTGGACAATCTGCCTAGGATGTAAATCAGGCGATCACCGTAGGCCTCTGTCTGTGGGCGGAGAAACATGCCAAGTGGTGCACATTCGAGCACCGATGGCGGCACGTGTACGCTGAGCTGTAAGCAGCTCGTAATCTGCGAGTGTCAGTTGTCATCTGAACAAAGAAAAGTCAAGCCGCAGGAGTCGGTGAAGCACGTACTATTTGAAACCGCAGCTGGATGAACAGTTTCAGACCCTCTTCATTCTGTACTTGCTCTGGACCGCGCAGTTCAAGAATGGCCGCGGCTCCGCGAATATGGTTCGTCCACTTCTCAATATTTTGTGTTGTTCTGCTGGTAACGACCTGGAATAATGTCTCAGATATCATGAGCAGAAAAAAACAGGCCAAAGCTACTTACCTCAAAAATTGCCAGCATCAAGACCGCCCCCAGTGTCGGATTGGCTTTCACCTCTGCTGGATTCGAGACAGCAAACGCTAACATTTGCAAAGCGTATCCATAATCCGCTTCAGCAGCGATAATCATCGACATGTCCTGTCGGACCCGTCCAAGCATCGCCGTCCCCACAGCACCGACACTCGCCTTCATAGCCTCCTGACTCACAGAAAAGCCCGTTCTCGCAAGAAACTCGGGACTCAGATCAATCATCCAGTGAAACCCAGGCCACGGATTGTACCGAAGAAAGTAACAGACCGCCTCATCCTGCGTGGTCTGGTACGACGGCTGAAGCCTCGTCAGCGGCTGCCGCTCAATCAGCTCCGGCTGCAGCGGACTATCATCGCTGAAGTCAATAGCATCGCTACTCCGGCTGGCCGAGACCGTCGTCGCACCCGATGAAGACTCCGGGCTACTCTCACTCGGCGAAAGGGTCCGCCGGGCCTTCCTTGCCTGCTTGGACTTTCGCGCTGCGGCACTATTCCGGGCCTTCCTGACAACCTGCTGACTTTCATCACGAAACATCAACGAAAGCTCGTCCCGGTAGCCGGGACAGGCCCTGTTGCCTTTGAGGCATTGCGAACAAGCAGGCCGGACCTGGTCGCACCGGATCTTCCTGGATCGGCATTGGCCGCATCCTTTGCTGGGTTTCCCACAGAAGACCATAGTGAACCAATAGTTTTCCGTTCTTCTAGAATAAAAGCAGCCGGTCGCACAAGCACACTCGTGGATGCAGAAACCCGTTCCTGAATGAGTAAGCTGTGCGAGCAGTGGTACCACCGCGGGAAGGCCTGTGTATGATCTGACTCTGAGCCTGCCAGGCGCTAGAGTAAAGCTATCGCGTCGTTGAGAATAAATTCTCGAGATGGAAGACCGTGCTCGCCACCATCAACAACGATGGAAATGAGATGCACAAGAGGGGAATCCTCGTCTCTTGCATGGTCGGTTCCGTTCCTGAAACTCCAGGAGAGCGCTGCCTCACACGACCCAATCAAGCCACATGTTGGGGTAAAGCTAGTCCGCATCAGGTGATCTGCGCCACGGCACTGCAGTGCGGGGGATTTCCCGAGGTTATCAGTTATCATCGATGTGAACTCTGTTCTCAACTTTCACGTCCATCTACATTAGTCTAACTGTTTGAGAGTATAGACGTCAGAATACCGGAAGAATCGGCAACTCATGCATAAAAAGATTAATCTGTGCGCAGCATCCATTACTTGACTGAGGTCTGATTGGCCAGGATATAAGAACAGCCAAAGAAAGTGTCCATGCTCTATATAATCATTCTCGTCGATCATGTGTCTACTGGAAGTTTCGAAAACTACCTTCATATAGCTGTAAGCCTGAGCTCAAGAAATCTAACGCCGAACATGCGCCACTCCCGTCATTAGGATCCCGAGGCAGCGAGCCGGTACTCCTCAGGAATGTCCACAGGCCACTTATCTACGCCGTCCAACAAGGCCAGCGCCATACCACCGCTCAGATGTATCTGAATGTGACAATGGAGCAAGAATGCGCCAGGATTGACGACTTGATATCTGATCGCCAACCAAGTGGGGCCAGGTGCAGTGGGAGGCGTTATGAATGTGTCCCGGATCTGCGGGGTCTTAAAGTTGAAGCTCTCCGGAATGTACTTCGTCGCCTCGGCCACTGAGGTATAGTTGAAATCTCCATTTCCTTGACCAATGACGAAGAACTTGTTCGAGTGCTTGTGAATAGGGTGAGGTGGCTGTAAAGGGCCGACCACTCTGAGGATGAGATCGACCCAGGTTCCGTTGCGAGTTGAAATTGAGAGATCGGGCTTGGCCGCGGAGCGATTAAACAGAAGCGGAGACGCTTCCTCCAGGGAGAGCGGGAAGCTTGAGTTTCCAAGCACCCAACGGTAGGATGCATTAAAACGGTGGATATCTAGGAAGAAGGTCTGGGCAACCTCTTGCGCCGGTACCTCCACAGGAAAAGGAATCACCATGCTCTCGTCGAATGCCACGACTTCCGCTGTTGTATTTGCGCCGGTGATGTCGATTGATGGCTGCGAAGGACGTGATTGAGCTTTGAAAGGCGTGTTGTAAGACATGCTCGCTTTGCCGCTAATAATCTGATTGACTCCGCTGTTTGCTATACGAACGGTGTAGTCACCAGCCGGTTTATCCAGCTTCACCATGATTGAGTACCGGTTTCCGTTGGCAATGGTGACCGCATCCACTCGAGTAGGGACGATGTACCTTCCATCGATGGCGTATATATACATGGGATGTTCGTCGATCGAGAAAGTGATCATTGCCAAACCAGCAGAACTAATTAGGTCGAAGCTGGCGTACGAAGCGTACGGATCAACCAGGAGTCGCTCGGTCGAGCCCTGAGACGGAGTACAGCCGGAAAACACCGTCGGTGGGATGGCACTGAAGTTATGCGGAAAATTTCCTTGGATCAGTGGATTCGTCGGGGGCACGCAACTGGGAAAGTCAACTTCAAATCGATAACTTGAACTACGGTACTTCTTTCGCACTTACCCAATATCAGTCAGCGAAGAGTTTCCCAAAAAAGCCCACTTTGCCGCACTGGCATACTGATCCAATGTACGGCGGTCCAGACACTGCACCGAGCCCTTTCCATTGACCAACAACGCGTTCACACAGAATGCGTCTTGTCCACTTGCCTTCTCCACGTGCCACAGCTCCTCGGACGTCAACTGGCGCCAGTCACTTAGCAGTACTGGGATTGTTCTTTCTTCGGCTCGACGCATGGCCTCGACTTCACTCGTACAATTAGTTATCAACCAAAAGGGCTTCTTTACTGCGTCATCAGGACGGATATAAATCGCTCCGTATAAGCCATCATCAATCTGCCCTCTGCTGTGAGAGTGATAAAAGTAGCTGCCATACTGTCCTGCATTCCACTTGTAAAGAAAAGTGCTGCCGGATGGGATTGGTCTTTGCGAAAGACCAGGAACTCCATCGGACCAAGGCGTTCCCGTTTGGTCAATTCCTGATTAGATGAGAGGTGTCAGACTTATCTATCACCTATTGCCGCTAAATAACCTTACCGTGGAAGTGAATTGTGGTAGCAAACGGAAGTTGATTATCCACCATAAACTCAACATCATCCCCCTGTCGCAAGTACAATGGCGGAGCTGGAAATTGGCCGTTGGTGAGGATCATCTTCCGAGCGATACCAGCTGGAGCCCAGTCCTCCCATGTCAGAGTGATCTTAAAGCGTACCACATTGGCCGATCCCCAAGAGACAAAGCATAGCAGCAGCAGTGCTAGGGAAGCCAGTCCATCGCGAAAGGAGCCCATATCGAACACTGAACACAGGGGAAATGCAACGACAGGAGAAAACATAACCGAACGGCGGAGAATCCATTGCTTTAATATCCCCGAAATGGGTATCAGGCTGCAGTGCCACCCTCAAAAAAGGTCCATCTCTGAACAAGTGGCAGGGCTGGCTGACAAAAATCCCCATGTGTGCAGAGTCTGTCAAATTCAAAATGCAAGGAGAACCAACCCAGGTTCATCGATTAGCTGCACGATTCCACTAGCCAAATGAGCTCCTCGGCTGAGAGTCAGCTCAGTCACATTGTACAAACCGGACCACCGGACTGATCGACTATTGATTCACAAATCCATATTGAATGAAACCGACTCTGGTAAGTGAGAAATCCGTCGAATTATCCGTGCCATACGCACCCACACCGGAAGCGGTGAGGGTGCGTATGGCACGGATACTTCGGCCCATGGCTTTGTTGGTTGTCGAAGTTTAGTTCTCGCTCTGGTGGCTGTATCCCAGTGAGGTGCAGGCACATGGTTCGCCAAGTCAGCGAAATCAGCCTCCTTTGATCAGTAGATCTGCAATCGGGCCGCATAAACCACAGACTTCAAGGACTGTGCACTACTAGTACTGCCCTGCACTCAGTAAACTATTCCAGTGTAGAATGTAAGATGCAGATCCTCGGTACCATCGACCAACTAGTGATTGCCAGGGAAGATCAGACCCACTTGTTTAAGTTGATGACGACCCTTAGTACGGATATGTGTGGTTTTGATGGGTAAAGAGAGGGCAAGGGGAATACGGAGCAGTTAGAGAGGTAGAGATCAAACAAAATTGACACATTGTCGACGTTTGTAGCAAGAAGTGGATATAATTTGGGGTGGTGAGCTTGAGTCGTGGTTGAAAAAAGGATGGAGATCAAGCCTTTCGGGCCGCTCTGCTCCAGCCTCCATACCTCGGCTCTGATCCTCGACGGCCACGGAAATAGCCGGGAGTCTCAGGACAAGGGACTTGTTTACGATTACTTCGGACGGCTATTAAATGCTTCAAGAAGCCCATAAACTTCGGCAAATTATCATGAAGCAGTCACAACAGCCTACAGATTCGAACTACCTTATGTCCGCTCAAGAATCCCCCTCAAGACGCCAGTTCAAGGAAGAGTAGAAATGTCTGCATAGCATTTGGATCAACTCAGTATCCTTATAGGACGGCTAAATCGATGCCCCAATGCAATTTACAGTCCTAATATGGACGAAAGACTCGAAAGGGCCATCCGAACCGATCCAGGGCCTTCAACGGCACAACTCAGGAGTTCAGGACATCGTCAAAGTCGTACGACGTGCCGATGAGGAGAAACACCCAAGTTACGTGCTAGAAACAATCATCCAGCCCCGCTCAGTCTTTGGCTTCTGGTTTTTACCCTCATATGGTCTACCAGGAACAAACTCGGGCGCGTCCCCACGAAGCTTCGAGGTTGGAGTCGATTCGGCGAACATCACCTCCTTGGCAGAAACAGGACTCTTTGTCTCTGAGGATGGCGAGTATATCTCTGGAGGTGGCGAATCCGTGAAGCTCGGGTGAGGGGTGAAACGGGGTGGTTCGAACTCCTAGCGTTCGACAACATGTCAGTATCCAAAGGAGCCGAGACAATCGAATGAATGAGCGAGCCAACGAGTTTGATCAATCTTACCTGCCGTCCGCCTGCGGTGCGAATGTCATGCAGAATCATCTTGTACTGGTTAAGTTGCTCCCTCATCCGCTGCGCAAGAACAGGGGGAGGAGTGGTCATCATTGCATGAGGTGCATTCATGGCAGGATGGGCCCCCAGGAAAGGCTCTGGCTGCGCATAACCAGGAGGGGGACTGTTCATCATTGCGTGAGCCGAATTCATGACGGGACGGCCGGTCATGACAGGTCCTGGCTGCGCAAACACAGCAGGTGGAGTGGCCATCATTGTGTTGGGTGGGATCATGGTGGGACGGCCGGTATTGACCGGTCCTGGAAGCCCTGGAACCCAGGTGTTCACGGGTTGATGATGCTGGTAAGGCAAAGGCTGGTTATTGAACGCGTTGACACGGGATCTGGGGACTGGTGCATGCGCGATCTCATCAGGAGTAAGGAAGGGAACCCTCGGATCTCTGGAGAAGCGTTCTATGTCTTGCACGAGGACGGGTGGGAATCGCTCGACCGTGCGGCCTCTCATTTGGTCTGGAAAATTGATTGTGTTGACCGTGTTGCCGAAATTGGTTGGCTGCCACTCTGCCATGTTAGCTACTCGAAACACAAGAGACTGTCATAGCAGGATTGTCTCGATGGTTGTTGGAAAAGACTCGAAAAGACAGACTTACCCGGTAGCGCTGATTCCTACGCTCCTTCCGCATGATGCTTGTTATGGAGAACACTTAGGGATAGAGTTCAAGACGAGTTGAGGCAGCAAGAGTCGAGAGTTGGGAAGTTGTTGGAGATCGTAACTTTTAGTACTGGTAAGAAGAGGGCGACGTGACGGGTCTGTTGCACTCTAACAGTCAATGGTCATTCACAATATCCTGAAAGGCTTTCGCCAGTAGGGCATTATGCAAAGCCACTTGAATGAACAAACAAGCTAAGCATAATAATTCTTTGTCATTCTGCCTTTATTTTGATCTCCCAAGAAAGACAGGTCGCTACAAAGCTGAGACTCTTTGTCCTTTGTGCCCTCAACCTCACCTCATTTTCTTCCATTGAGTGAGGAACACTCTTTCGCTGCCAGAAATGCTTATGCGTCTAGGGGGCATCAGTTCAATCCGTTTGGGGAAACACATTCAGATCAGTCTACAAGCTCAACTAAAGTACAGTACTTATTGAGCACAAGATGAGTTACTCATGATCATTCCTTTGGTAGGGCTACGCCCAATTTCTTTTCCATTTTTCTAGTGTTTTTGTGGCTTTTCTAATTCATCAGTGAAAGTGAAAACAAAAAGAAAAACAATCAACGAGCAGTGTTGACTCATACAGATGACCTTTTTTTTGTGGATTTTTTTTTCTTTCTTTTTTTTTGGTGTCTTCAGTCTTTCTTGACTGTTGACAAAGATGAAGCTTGAGTTAGGGTTGACTGAAGATCAACAAAGAGATAAGTAAAGAAAATTGTAAATCGACTGGGCGATGGCCGAGGCCCGGGTATCAAAAACGCAAGACAGCAAAAAATGCCATTGCTCATTCATTCGTCAGTCATAAGACAGAAATCAGGTGAAAGTGATACTCCGTAATCGTCATCAGTCGTGCAATTCATAAGCTGATGCTCTAAAAGGCGAATTTGGCCCGAGCTTGAAGGAAATGCTCATAAAGAGCACGTTCCGCAACAGCTTTCTTTTCAGTTTTTTTGCCTAGCATCTCCTCGGCTTCTGCGAGAGCTGAACGTGCGTTGTTCACAACATCCAGTTGATGCTTGAGTGCAAAAATTTCCTGTACACATCATCAGAGAAAGGGACCAGTCAGAGGAGCTCTACAACAGCAAGGAGACTCACCTGAAGCATCTTTGCTTTCTTATCCCTGTTCGTCTCTTCACAGATCTCTCGGTAAATTCGAGGAAAGAAGGCATTGACCTCATCATCTTTCCGCTCCGTAGGAAGATTCCACCAATCTGTATTCGAGGCATGGGTTGTCTGGGAAGAAACGGCTCCTGGCGACTCGGAGACGGCGGCCCGTTCCTCTGCGAGCTTTTTAACCTGTGCTGCCTTCTTTGAGCCTGTGGCTGCACTGAGATGACGCGAAACACGGGTCGAGCGCTGCGGGCTTCCAGTGGAAGCTGTCATGGCTGAAGGTCTCCTAGTGCGGCCATCTGCAGCAACAGGCGTTTGCAATCTAGGATTTGTGGCCGCTCTGGTACGCGTTGACTTGGTAGGCCTAGCAAACGATGGAGTTTGATACTCCTCGTAGACACGTGGCGAAGGGGCCGGGATGGAAGACAATGAGGAAGTAGGAGTCGGGAACGCTCCAGGTGAGACATGGATAGGGGCACTAATGCTGCGAGCACCCTTGCTCCAACCACCTCGTTCGGGCAGTCTGGTGGACTTGGTTCGCGACTTAGGGGCTGTCTTTGTCGCTTCCGATTTACCATCATCCTTATTAGCACGATCGACTGCGCCGCTTTGAGCCTTGTCTCCAGACCCTTCTATCGCAGCGTCGGTGCTCTCTTGATTTTTCGCACGTGCTTTATCAGCGGCACTCTTATGCTTGAAAATGTTCCGGAAGCTGTCAAGCATGCGATTGCTCTTCGACTCTGGGAACCTGCCTTTGTTTCCGCGCTGTGCGGTATGGTCGCTTTCGGGCACGATATCGTCGAAGGTTACAGTCCGCTCCAAACCAGTCGCACCGCTTGAGTGTGGTATATTTGGAGTCCGAGGAGTAGTTGCGGCAGACTCTCCTTGACTAGGGGGCATTGATTGTAGCGAGGAAGTCCGGGCAGGATGCTGTCTGTCAGCGGCTGGTGCCCCCTTGACCCTCGCATGCGCCGAGAGATCAGCAGTCAGGGACCCGGTAATTTCTTTTGATCCTTGGTCAGTACCCTTAGAGAGGGGGACAGCTTTCAGTTCAGGTAGAGGCTTGTCCTTGTTCAAGAACACATTATGTTCATCCGGAATCTTGGGCACCATAGGCACCATGTAGTGAGACTGAAGTTCATTCGAACTGGGATTGTTGATATCCGTGAAGCTTGGGTTACCCACAGGCTTTCGTGGAATAGAAAGCTCCCGTGCACTGATGTCTCTTCTGGAAATATTCTCAAGAGAGGGCCGGGGGCGGCAAAAGTTCCAAGAAGCTTCAGGGATTCCAGCAGGGCTGGCCCTTGCTTCAAGAGCTCCTTCTACCAGTCTGGAACTCTGCCCACCGAGGCGTGCATTTTGAGGGCTAGGCTGTGTAGCAGTACGATGGCCGTCCCGTTTGAGATCAGGTGACGATTTCTGAGACAGCTTCGAGGAGCCTTCGGTGCCCATGATAACGTTTTCTGCCGACGCCGCAATCTGCAGACGTGGTCCATAGAAACATTGAGCAGATCGTTCGAATGGCCGACGATTATCGCCGGTGTAACCAGTGGGTCTCTCAAGCACATCCTCGTCATCGTGCTCATAATCCGAGTCGCCACTGGAGGACGATGTGGATGAGTAGCGGGAAACCTCACGTTCTATGTCTACATGTCGTACATATCCACGCGGAGTATTGACTACACGCTGAGAAGGTGCCGCAACAGGCTCGCGAGTTCTCTCAGCGACACGGGTCTCACCAACCTCGTGTCCACTAGAGCCACCTTCAGGCATGTCCGTGCTAACCTTGCGGATTGCAACAGGTATGGAGCTTCGGTGCTCAGAAGTCACTCGCGAGTCTTTCTGTTGGTTTCCTCCAGTGTCCAACTTCTGTGAAGGAGGAGCAGGGATACGTGAAGTGTAGTTCTCTCCGCGAGCCCGTACAGCCGTTTGCAGTACCGGGGTGGTTTCAGCGCTTGCGTGTTGAGGAGTATCTTTGTTAACCATTTTGTCTTTAGCAATGTCAGCAGGATATTTCAAGTGAGGAGGGATGTACGTACCTTGCTGGGGAGCCTCGGGTCCTGCGGACTCAGAAGAGATTGTGTTATTCTGGACTGATTTTGCAGTGGATGCAGCGTTATCTGCTGTATTCTCCACAACTTCTGGACACGAGCAGATGTTAGCATCTCTACATATAAGTTGTGAAGTTGCTGATAGTTGGAGAAGACTCGACGGTCCTCACTAAGCTACTCCCCTGCCACCACAGGCTTGAGATAGCTCAAGAGAGAGATAGCAGCTCTTGCACATCATTGCAGGGTCAAAGGAGAATGAAAAAGGTCATGAGCATGGAAAACAGCAGTGCCTTACCTTTAGAGAACGGAGACTGGGATGCGTTATCAGTGTTGTCTGCAGTGTGATTCCCACCAGTCGAAGAATCAACAAAGGGATCCTTTGAATCCGGACCCGGTTCAGGTGGCATGTTGGCTTTTTTGTGGATCCTCAACGGAGTGATCGTTAGATCAGAAGAGCTATCTGAGAAAGAAGATCGAGGGGAAATATCGTCGTGGTTATTAGGAAAAGTGTGATATCGCAGGATGGATGAAGAGAGTGAAAGTGGACGACTATTCTGGTGTTGAGGGAAAGAGGTAGACGTTGCTAGAGACTCAGTGTGGGTAATCCCTTCGTCAGAATTTCTGAAATTTGGATGTGTTTGAATGAGAGAAGCCACGTCTTGAAAATACAACAGGGACTCGCGCACTGTGCGGTCCTCGTCTTCATTCACTATTGTAGGGCCGGGTCCATCTTCGACCTCTGTACTAGTGCCAGCGTCTGGAAAAAGTTCTGCGAGCTTCGGAGAATCAGTCGCCCTGCTGTAAACTGAGATTTCAGAGTATCTTCGACAGTCCCCGAGTGTGATGGTGCTTCCTATCTTCTAAGAGTGAGTCTTCCCCTGGTCACAGTTCTCAGGTATATCCACGTACAGACAAAGTTGACAGCGGTCTCTGCTGAGGTCTAGATAGACCAAGCAACATCGAGGCTCGCCTGAGCTGCTTGATCTCCTTGATACGATAAATTGGCTTGCACTGTAGGCCATCCACTCAGCTTTCCCTGAAACTCACAACAAACGTCCTTGACAACACGTACCTCGAGAAGCCGTTCGTGGGCATCCTTACGCATCGCCTTCACAGAAGCCTTCAGTGCATGCATTGTCCTGAGCAGTCTGACATTGCTGAGATTCTTGACGACGCCTCTCACTCGGGCTTTCCTGGCTTGATACCTCTTTTTGATCTCCTTCAAGATCCTCTCTTTTCGTGTCTCCTGCTTGACCTCAACCGGTTTGGGCCGAAATAAAAGTGGTTCGCACCCCATAATCTTAGGAATAGCAGGACCTGCGTATTGACGCTTTGGCCGATACTCCACCGGCTTGATGTCCTTGGCCTGAGTGTACATCATAAAGCGTGGGGCTTCTTTCGGCTGAGACTCGCCATCCTGCTTGTCGTTCGATTCATTGCTCTGGTCCTTGGGGGGCTGGCTCAAAGGAAACGAGGACTTGGGAGGCAACTTATCCGCACCTTTCTTCAAGTTCGGTGCTGATGCTCTGGTCCTAAGACTTGGTACAGAGTCTTTCTTGGGCGACTTACGTGGTTTGGCGCTGGAAGCAACATTGAGGGCACTGTTTTTTGTTCTGAGATTGGGAGCCGAGCGCTTCCCTTTCAGCTTTGCTGAACTTGGGTCGAGCTTCATCTTGAGTCGCCTGGTCAACTGCCCTGCAGGCAGCCAAAAAGTTCGCCTCACAGACTATTTCTCTCAAAGTTTGTCTATTGAAAGTCACTTCCCCAGCAATCGAAACACAAGAACGAGAGATAAGCAGAAAAGCATACCTATTCCGGCTTGGTTGTCCTATGATTGAACACAGTCAATATCTACACAAGCGGACGATCATGCAGGAAGTGTTCAAGGCTGGTGTTCCTGGAGATGAGAGATGAGATGGCAGCAAGATCTCTTATTCCAGAGTACTCAGTGTTGTTCTGGATCCAAACGAGGGCTAAGCTGATATCTCACTCTTAGAGGAAAGCGGCATATGATATCGAGATGATTAGCTAGGGGATCAAAGAGACAGGTTGTTTCCAAGCAGACATGTAGATAATGACAGCTTTATCTTGAAAGAAACACAGTGTGCGAGAGCAGGCGAAGATATCCTTCACTTCACTGTAGGCATAGGCAACCTAAGCGAGGCGATTCCTATTTGGGAAACCAACTAAGTGATAGAGGGCACGCCTCAGGCATCCCCTATTCACGGTCGCTTTACTTCTGTTTGTTTATTGCTTGGGGTCGTCTAGGCCCTCCTTGAGCTGCAAGTTGAAACCCAAAAATTAGCATGAAAGCAGCTTTTTTGGTCTTTTTATGCTTCTGAGTCTGAGATCTTGCCATATATACGAGAACACGGCAAGTCCGTCGACGCCCGAGCTGACCCTAACTATAGGGATGATCGCATGGAACAGGACGCTTGTTTGATCAAGGCATATGGACATATTGCTATTATCTGGAGAACAGGGGAGCAGAGCTTCTTGACGATTCGTATACCGATGCTCCTGTTGCGCATAGCTTGAGTACGGAAAACTCGACATCTACAATGGTATTCAGCCAGTATGAGAGCTCACCAAATCTTTCATCTATAGAGTGAGTAGAAATCTGCTAGCATCACATTTGTTTCGCGGCCGATCCAGGTCCCTCCGTGTCGATGTAATGTCCTCTTTTCCGTTTCACGGCTGCTCGCGCCTCAGTTGACCCGGTCTGCGTTTCTTCGCTGGGATCCTCGTCCCCCCACTCAGTCACTTCCCATTCTATTGTCGTCGAGTTGTCACCACTAACCCCTACACCGCGCCTCTTCTTCATTAGGCGGCCCAGCCGACTCCCCTCAATCATCTCCTCAAACCACGGGATACCCCGCGTCGTGCCCCGTCGATAGCTCCGAGTCAGGGCAGGCCCGCGAGCCGACGAAGGCACAACAACTGTTGCTTGGGTGGATAATGCTTGCGTATGCTCAGCTGGACTTACAGTCACACCTTTCTTTTCCTCTTTCTCTTCCGCTTCTCCATCCTCTTCCTCGGCTTCTCCGCCTTCATCCGATGATTCCGGAAGAAGGTTGAGGTCCTCCAGCATGCGTTGATCCTCGCCGTACAGACTACCAATCGTCACAGACATATAGTCCGCCTCCTCTTGGGGACTCTCGCTCCAGTAGGTGAGCGGAGTGCCGCAGTATCCGCAGAAGATGCGCTGTGTGTGAGGCGCATGACGAGGGGTAAAGACCCGACGGATGGTGGCATGGGTTTCGTCAGGAAAGTAAGACTCGGTGTGAGATTGATACCAGCTCAGGGGAACTCGCAGCCATGCCGTGAGAGGTGATCCATATGATTTTCCTGATACATATCAGTCTTGCATTGGCTGGTGGTAGATATAGGGGATCCAATACGTACGGTGATCCCGGCTGCTGTCAAAATATATATGAGCGTGGTCTGTCACATTTTCTGGGATGTCAATCGAGTACTGATTGCGACCACATAAGCAGGATCCGCGAAGAGGCGCACGAGTGCTCATATTCTGAATCAGGCTATTATCAAGTGCGGAATTCGCAATCTAAGCTAGTCTAGTATGAAATCAAAGATCGACGCCGCGATGTCTGATTGAAGAGTGGTTGCGAGCTCGATGAACAGGGAAAGGGAAAGCTAGACACAAACAGGATACTTCTTAAAAGTTGTATCAAATGAAGAAAAAAAAGGGAGAACTTGAGTAATATTGTTAGAATTGTCTGCACGTATGGGGAGACATTCGATAAAGGGTACCGATGACGTGAAGACGCCAAGGCAGCGGATCCCCGGAGCTTGGCTAACCTCAAATAATAATCCGGCGGCGACTCTGATTTTTGATCTTTCTGCTTTCCGACTAGGTAGTGTCTTATGTCAGAGACTCGACGCCAAAGACTGTAATTTGCAGCAGGTAGCTAGAACTTATCCGGTTAGTGAGAAGCAGCGTGACTGCGTGAGGCCTAGAAAGTACGGAATACAGATGGGGATTGATTCTCCGCACGCTACCTAGGTTTGGGTGGAGGATGGCTGGCTTCCTTAAGCCTTGGATCCATCCAGAACCAGAACGGTCTTTTCTCGACATGCTTTTGATCTCTACAATCCTCAAGAGGTCCAGTCTATTCCTCCAATTCTGTCACTCATTATTGCTGTTTCTGATTTCCTGCTTGTTTGTATTTGTTCTCGAGCACCTTTTTATATACCGCCCGCCCTATTTCACCTTCGTCGTCCCCCGCACTCAAGTGTCACATGAAAAAAGACAGTCACATGCTTCAACCTGTCACAGCAATTTGATCACGACAAATAATTCCACCACCAAATATAAGAAGAAAAGGAAAAGCAACATGCCATCTGCACAACCACCAGCATCCCTCGCCTCCAGCTCCTCCGAACCCTCCTGTTCTCCCATTCCCGCCAGCGCAAGCACAACAGCAGAGGACGCACATACTCGCTCCTCCACCACCCCCACCGTCCCCTCATCCTCTAAGCAAGCGGCCATCCCAGGCACAGGCACAACGACTGACCGGGATAAACCACGCCTTACAGAACAAGAGAAGAAGAATAACCACATCGCCTCAGAACAGAAACGACGCGCCGCCATTAGAGAAGGCTTCGATCGGCTTACGGAGCTGGTGCCGGGTCTGGAAGGCCAGGGCCGGAGCGAGAGCATTGTGCTCCGCAAAACGGTGGATTTCATACACTTGAAGCTACAGGAGCGACAGGAGCTCATTGCTGAGATCGAGAGCAGAGGCGGACACATCGACGATGTGTTTCGACCGTGAGGAGCATCCAATGCGCTGAGGGGATTCGAGGACGCCAGCCGAGGTTCGGCATTGCGGTTGTGGGTGGTTGTCGTTGACTGCCAGAAATGGGCAAATGAGACACAACCACATTTTCATGGGTTATGACTTTTGCGTTATGGGATATGTGTATTGTTTGGTTTATGGCATAAAAAAGCTGGACAAGTATCTGCCTGGCTTTGGTGCTTCTTCCAGCGAAAAATTGGGGTGGTCACTGAGTTTCTGGCAATGCTTGGAACACAGGCTGGATAGTTATGGCGCTCCGGGATTTTCTTTGTCACCTTTTCTCTCTGAGAGTCGCATTCAGTAGAGCGACTCCCTGTTCCCTGGTCGGCTCTTGTCGTTCGAACTTGATACCTTGATATGGACTTTGAAGAATGCATACTTACCGATGTAAAGTCTCACTCTGCCTCTAAAGCTCACCCTACTTTTCTCCTTGCACTTCTTGTCCGATACCAATTGTGAATAAGAATCACTTTCAAATTCAATTTGACCAGAATTGTCCCTTGGGATATTGCATAGTCTATATTTCCAGAACAAAATCCACGACGAACAACAGTACCAATAATACACATTGAAATATTTAATAATACACAATAAGACAGGGTAGTCAAACGATATCATCATGAGTATTCAAATCCGACGAACATTCAATAATCCGGAAGCCCCAGGTGAAATAAACATGCGAGGAGATGAGAGGTGTCCTGTTAGATCGTATAACGCCGCCCAATGCAATCTTTCTGTCAAGGTCAAAGCCGATCGGCTGTGCGAGACTCGCTCGACAACCCTGGCTGAGTCTATCAGGGGTTTTCGCTGGACCTAAGAGACGGAAATAGGTCTAGTGGCTGTCTCTGTCGGCATGTCGGCGGCCTCTAGGGAAATCATCGGCGTTGCGGCGATTGCCAAACTTTGGCTCGCGGCGGTCGAATCTGGACCCGCGGTCATGGCGGGAGAAAGGGTTGTCATTGCGATCGCCTCTGCGATAGTCACGTCCTGTCGACATGTTGTCGCTGAAACGGCGTCTGTCCGCGGAACGAACACCAGGTACTCCATCAAGTCCCAGATTACGGGCAGTGGTCGAATTCATTAGTGGGGCTTCAGGCAGGCCATAGCCGTGCACAACACAGTCGGTAATGGCCTGGATCAAGTCCCGCTTGCTAGAAAAAACACTTCTCAATGGGCCAATTTGGGCCATATATGCTCGCCTCTTCAGATCTTCTGGGACTTCTTGCACGGCTTCATTGACCTCCTTGATAAATTTAGTTGCGGGGGACTCGGGGTCGAGGTCGGAATTGGTCATATCGACCATAGCCGTCGTGAAGGTCTCCCTGTCTTGGTTGATTGGGAGACCTTTTAGTCGCCTGTTGAACTCAGGCAGCTCTCCTTTGTGGGTGAGAATCCAGCCCTCGCCAGTCTTATTCGCACGCGCCGTGCGGCCCAGACGGTGAATGTAGGTAGCTCGGTCCCTGGGGATACTGATTTGGAACACGTGAGTCACGTCGGGGAAGTCCATGCCACGAGCTGTCACATCGGACGAGAAAAGGATGGCAGACTTAGAGGCCCGGAAAGAGTCAGAGGAGCGAGTTCTCCGAGCTTGAGACAACTGCGAATGAATTTCGAAGACACGAACACTGCGTAGCGGATGATTACGCTGCTCGACTATATTGCGGAAAGTCTCGTAGACCAGATTAGTCTGCACCGTTGAGTTAAAATAGACAATTGCCTTGAATGGTCGCTGATCCGGATTCTCCTTTCCGCCTTCGACATATTTCGTCACAAACTCGAGAAGAGCAGGCATGGCATTCTCGTAGCCCTTGAGAACAACGTGCTTCTGAGGAACTGTGAGATGGGTAGGGACTTCGTCTTCTCGCACGGTCCTGATAAGCTTGAAGTCAGGCTTCATGGTCTGACGGACCATTCGCATGACTTCCCTTGGAATTGTCGCGGAGAACATGAGCGTTTGACGGTCGACCTTCATGGGGTCCGGAAGAAGACGTTGGATTTGCATGATGTCTTCAGAGAACCCATCATCCAGCAAACGATCTGCTTCGTCCAGTACAAGAGTGGTCAGATTGGGGGCCGTGACACCAGTGAAGGAGTCGGAGAGAACGTCCTTGAGCCGACCTGGCGTGCCGATCAACACATGGCATCCCTCTCTTTGGATGCGACGTAGACCTTCGCGCTTCTGAGTGCCACCAACAGCAGTCTGCACAATGACACCTGCGTGAGCCGCTAACCGCCGAGCCTCCACGGCAATCTGCTCTGCCAGCTCACGCGTAGGAGAGATGACAATGGCGCGAATGTCGGCGGAAGTCGCCTGTGACCGCCTCCGGTTCAGCCCCTTCAAGGATGGGTCTTTCATAATATTCTGAAGTACCGGCGTGAGAAAGGCAAGGGTTTTTCCAGTACCGGTCTTTGCCTGGGCCAAACTGTAGAAAGAGATGCACGGTTAGTTTGGTCGTCAAGGGCTTTAAGAGGTGAGAGCATATACTGACACATCATCCCCTTGCAAAATTTCACGCAAGGTTTGGCTCTGGACATCGGTCATAGTTTTGATCTTCATATCTTTAACAATTGCGCGAATAATTTTTGGGTCCACCAGTCCCTGCTCAGCCAAGTCGGCGAACTCGGTCAACCGCTCCTGCGGAGCAGCCAACTCCAAGTCATCAGGTTGCGCCTGTGCTTGAGCGGATTCCGACGAAAAGAAAGGAGACGACTTATGTAGCAATCGAACGGATTGAGGAAAGACTGTAATGGAAGGAGTCTGGCATCTCAAGAGCTGCGAATTCGACGATCTGCAGAGGGCACGGGGGACGGAGGCTCGCAGAGCGTGGACAACGCCATAACGGCGAACTGCGCCCAGCATCATTAAATCAGTGGAAGGGGAATGATATTGATATTAGATAGCACCAATTCAATCCAGAAAAACAACAATCGAGATGAAATCAATATCAAAATGTTGTTGGCTGATGCAAGGATTAGCCACAGTCTGAAACTTCAAATCAATTTTAGAAAGGGAAAAATAGTGGCAGAAAAAGTTCGAGACTGCAGGCGGTGAGGTTCGGCGGCGAGAGTCGGGGCAAATACAATATGATTGGCCCGAGTGGCCTCAGGCACAACATCCACCTGGGAAGTACGAAGTAGGTATGGTGATGATGAGCAGCATCAGGAATAAGACAAATGGACAGAGTCGCGATTATCGAGATAACTAAGTGGGACTTACGTTCTACTGATGCTGCAGTCTCTCAGTCCAATCTATTGTGCCAAACTTGACAAAGGGACGAGTCCGTGGCATCTGTCTCAACAGGGGCTTGCAAATGCATCTTCTGCCAAACAGAGCCTGGATAGTGGGTTTGCGCGTTGTTCCGAGTATTGAGTTCGACATGTCTACAACCGCCGATGTTGGATGATAATGGTGGTGTTGTAGCACGGAGTCCTTACTTCGCCTCGTCTCACGTCCAGGTGATCGAATGCACCGTTGATTCGATACTCCAGATCGAGAAATCGACTTGATGAGAAGGTATAATGCAGGTCAGAGTTTGAGGTTTTAGCTGTTCAAGAAGATTGGAAACTGCATCTCCTCTTAAATACCCTTCAAATGGGGGCGCAGATGTACATGGAGTCCTGGTATCAAACTTGTAGAGTGAACAACATCAAGAGAAATGAAAGAGATACTCTGTATCTAGTACTACTAGATATATCTCAGTTGCGATGAGTCCAACATGAAACAGCTAGTCAAGGCACATGATCTCACCCAATGAGATGCAGCTTACACGAATCATGACTTCATCTTACAATAATCTAAGGTACTAAGGTAGGTATCTAAGGTACGGTATCTATATCTACCTAATAATTACTTCATTCCAGGGACTCAGATCAGAATCATACCATGTCGAAGCAATTATGCAAAGATGTCCTGCAGTCAAACAGGCAATGCATTGAAACTGCATTAGTGCATTAGCCTCTGATATGATATGCATACCATGGCTGCTTTAGGGAACACCTCCGTACAACATCATAATGATTAAAAATCATGATATTCCGCCTTCCTGTTCATCATCGTCAAGGAACGGTTCTCTTGCCTAGAAGGTGTGTTTCAGCCGTCGGTGGATGGACATGAATCTCTCCGATAGCTCCACTAATGCAACCATGAAGAATGGGTTCCATAGAAATGTGCTACCTTAAGTCTCCGGCTCTCAACGGAGTAGGGATGAATAAGTTGGTATAGGAGCCACTCCACTGCTAAGGATCGCTCGGACAGACGAGTTACCTAGGTACTTTCCCTCTTTTTTGATTTCTCAAGAAGCTTCTCTGGTGTTCGCTGCTTGATAATCCAGGCAAATTCATCATTCAACCTCATAAAATTTGGCTCTGCCCCGCTTCTTCCTAGGAGGAGTGGGCTACTTACCTAGGCTATTACAGTATATAAATCAGTCCTGCTCCTCGTAGCTACAGACCAGCTAGAGAGATATTTATTGTTGGAACCTTTCTGGGAGCTTTCTGTCTATCTCATCCTCCCAATACTCTCTATACACTCACAGTCAAAATGAGCTCGAACAAGGCCCTTTTCTTCAAGAAAGTTCCTGAAGGATACCCCGTCCCCGGCGAGCACCTTACCATCGAGTCTGTCGACTATGACGCCAACACTCCCGCCCCCGAGAATGGCGTTGTCCTGCAGTCGCTCTACACAAGCTTCGACCCCTACATGCGTGGTCGCATGCGCCCGGCTCACGTAAAATCCTACTCTCCCGCTTTTGAGCTCGGCAAGCCTATCGACAGCTCGACGATTGCCAAGGTCCTCCGCTCCAACAATGCTTCTTTCAAGGAAGGTGATCTGGTCATCGGCTTTGTCCCCATCCAGGAGTACATTGTTCTCGATGGCTCCCAGGTTGCCAGCATCCGCCCTCTCGAGAACCCCCTTGGCCTTGAGGACATCCGTGTGTTCCTCGGCCCTCTGGGTATGCCTGGTCTGACCGCCTACTCTTCCCTTTACGAGATTGGTAAGCCCAAGAAGGGCGAGACGATCTTCGTCTCCGCTGCCAGCGGCGCTGTCGGACAGCTTGTCGGACAGCTGGCTAAGCACGAGGGTCTTAAGGTCATCGGCAGCGTTGGTTCCGATGAGAAGCTCGAGTACATCACCAAGGACCTGGGCTTCGACGGAGGTTTCAACTACAAGAAGGAAAAGCCCGCTGATGCTCTGGCCCGCCTGGCGCCCCAGGGTATCGACATCTACTACGAGAACGTCGGTGGTGAGCACCTCGAGGCCGCTCTGGACGCCATGAACAACTTCGGTCGTGTCGTTGTCTGCGGTCTCATCTCCCAATACAACGCGGCTCCTTACCCCATCAAGAACATCCACAATGTGCTGGTCAAGCGTATTGATATGCGTGGCTTCATTGTCTCCGATCCTGGCATGGGTGACAAGTACACTGAGGAGCACCAGAAGAACGTGCAGAAGTGGATCAAGGAGGGTTCCTTCAAGGCTCTCCTGCACGAGACCACCGGCATCGACAACGCCGCCGAGGGTCTGGTTGGTATCTTCCACGGTAAGAACAAGGGCAAGGCTGTTCTCAAGTTTTAGACGGGGGAAATTCGTTAAAAGATACTGCATGTTAATAGTATAATCATCTCATAAGCACATCATGACGAGATATGAGCGAAAATGAATTACATATGCCTGGCGCAAAAACATTCTTCAGGATTTGGGTTTCTGGTAATTGCGATCACGTAGGACTATGACGATTGTTAGTGAACACAATGTAGATGTAAAAGGCTCTGCAGATACAGTCTCTGTAGACGAATGTCGGCATCACTTCAGTCCAAGTACAATAATGCTAGAGCAGGCCACAGCTGAAGCATTCAGAAGACACAAATCCATCTGCCGGAACATCGGCCATTTTCGGCTGGGCGGAGAAACATTAGCGAATCAGAGCGCCCACAATGTGATGACCGCATCCCGAATCGGATGCCCGAGGTTCCAATTCAACCTCACGATCTCAAGCGTGCACCTCCAATTACTAGGTTCAGGACTTCCAAACGCGCTCACGGTCTACCCCAGCAGGTCTGCAGTGCAGCTCATATTAGGATATTGTTTGGATCGAGTTCTCAGCATATCGTCACGATGGCTTCGATTGCGCGCCAGTCCCTCCTTTCCAGGCACTCTTGCCTGTCCGCCTTCCGGTCGCCCTTGGTGAACAAGAACGTGTCGCAGGTTGTGGCTTTCCATGCTTCTGCGAAGAAGCAGATTCTGCCTCCTCTGCCTCGTGAGTTGCTCCTTGATCTGTTTATGAGGGGTTATGAGTTGTGATTGTGGGGGTGTTGCGTTGATGAGGAGGGGTGTACGGAATCAAGTAGAGCTAACAGGTTGCGTATAGAGGTCATTCAGGGAACAAGTATGTCGAAGAGCCCCATCGTTAACAGCATCGATACTGTTTGAGATGCGGAAGCGGAATACACACCATCATTCAGCCAAATTCGCAGTCCGCAACATCCGCTACATCCAGTTTTCAGCTTTCATACCGAAACAGAGAACGATGGACTGACACAAGACTCTCCCAGTGAACGACCCTGCTCCTATTCCCAAGCCTCACCCTTCGGAGGGTAGCTACCACTGGACATTCGAGAGGTGCGTACAGATGTGGAACTTGGTCTATGGAGACTCAGATGGAGGGGTATAAATCAAGGCAATCGACGCTGATGCGGATCTAGACTCGTCACTGTCGGACTGATCCCTCTGACCATCGCTCCCTTCGCTGCCGGCTCCCTTAACCCCGTCATGGACTCCGTCCTCTGCGCCCTGCTGGTCCTTCACTCCCACATTGGTTTCCAGTATGCTCTAGCCATTCGATTCGTTCCAGGCAGTCGAAATTAACACGTCACAGGGCCTCTATCATCGACTACTTCCCCACGCGCCGCGTCCCCAAGACCTCGACGTTCATGAACTGGCTACTGCGTGCTTTCACTCTTACCACCGCCGTCGGTCTGTATGAGTTCGAGACAAACGACGTTGGTGTCACAGAGGCCATCAAGCGGGTGTGGAAGGCATAGACCGATCTCTGAGGGAGTTGTTTGAGTTTTGCATTTGATTTCGATGGTTCTTTTTCAGGCGTCTGCCTATGTACATGTGCTCAATTTTCTATTTGTCTCGTCAAGCCTAGCCTGCTCTATTGGTCGGCTATAAAATGTAAACCGAAGACTTTTTCTATACCATGCCCTTTTCACATCGATGGAATCTATAGCGAAACGACCAGCGTCATAAAAGCATCCAGTATCATACCAAAGGACATCATCATGAGCCCAAGAGCCCTCAACCCGCCTTACTCCTCCTCCTCCTCCTCCTCCTCATCCTCCAACAAATCATCCTCATCCTCATCATCCGCCTTGGCCACCACCTTCTCAATCAACTTCAACGCCGCTTTCAACGGCAACCCAACCACATTATCCCAGCTCCCAGAGATACTCTCAACAAGAATCGAGCCCAGCCCCTGCAACCCATACCCCCCGGCTTTATCCGCCCCCTACCTCGTCCGCACATACGCCAGGATCAAATCATCCGTGACATCCCCATCAAACACAACATACGTCT